TTACAATCACATTTGTGTGTTAATATTTTATGAAATTCATTTTTTATGAGAACTTCTCAACATTTCTCAACTTTAAGATTGGAAGAAAACCTTTATTTATCTTCCCAACCATTCATAGAGAAGTGTTGAAGACTACACTTATCTTCGCCCTCTTTCATCACCACACTTCCGCCCTGCCCGCCGCCATTCATTGTTTCCCAGAATGTCAGTGTCGTTTCCGAGAGATAATGATTATAAATAGTTTTCTCGTGTTCCAAGACGAATGTCGTGAAGCTTTGGCCGTGAAGAAATATAAACTTCCTTTGCGAGGTTGTTTCACTGGGCCCAAGGTGATAATTGAATTGGAGGAGACGCAGTGGTAGGAGAGTGTGTGGGGGACACACACACGTACTGTACTTACGTACGTCAAAAATTCTCTAGAAAAATAGCTTAAAAGCTAAACCATGATTCATTTATTAAGTGTATCAGATGGATCGATATGCAATGGTTAGAAGCTAAACGACTTCATGGATAGATAGATAGATAGATAGTTGGACATAGTCATTAAATAAATCCTGTCGTATAGCAGCTACTTCAGGTGTCCATAGATGAACTGTTTCCCTCCTTGGCGTCCATTAAGTCGGCTCTAAAGCAGTCCAGACACATATTTATTAGCCAAGAGCCCCGACACAAGAGGCTGGTTGTGGGACATGCACACCGCTGTTTATCTCGGCAATTACCCTACTCTAAACACCCGCCCCAGAGTCCTCTATTGAGAGATAGTACCCGTCTACCCATCCCTCAGCTCTCAGCCAGAAAAACTTGGGGTTCTCGTGGGATGTTTTACACGAGTTCCGCCTGAAATAGAAACTGCTTGTAGAAAACGCGGCGTAAACATTGACGAAAGCAGAGTTGTTGTTATTATGGACTCAAGTTGGGAGGCTTATCGTCCAGAATCACCGCTGGAGGGGCTTGAGATCACTCGCACTCTCACTCCCACCACTCGCACTCTCTTTTGCTTGAGCCTCTCGCACCCTCACCTCTCTCCCTGGCACTCTCAACTGCCTTCGTCCGTCTCATAAGCTACCGAGGAGCCTGGCATAGTATCCTCTTTGTGAGGAGCGGAATATTTGGTAAACACCCTCTTGTCGTGTTATGTCGCAGAGCCTATTGGAGCGCCGGACCTCAAGGGCAAGCTCCAAACAGGGTTTTGCTACAGCTCGGGTCCTCAGCTGGGTGCACGGACTAAATCCCTCTCCAGACAGCTTCCCACGGGACACTACTCCACCAGTAGGTAATAAAATAGACGAAATCCCACCAATTGGTGATTTATTTAAGGTTAGGTAATGTTAGATAGTTTTTTTTTGCAACCCTTAAAATTTGGTACGATTGAAGGAATGTTTCGAGGCCTAAATTGTAGGATAAATCGAGAACTAAATTCAGCCCTGAAGATCCTCCTGCTACAGTTTAGGAATATTAAGAGCCTCCACGACCAATTATTCCCCCGTACCCAGGCCTGACCCTCGTTAAAATCATCATCACCAGGTTTTCTGTTAATATTTACACTTCTCTGGAATGTATCAACGTATCCTAAGCAAGATGTGAGATTCCTACAGGAGGAGTTTTTGGTTCCTCCTGGGGTGAGTCCTGTGTACAACTCTCGTGGGACATGTGCCCATGTCTGAGGACACCAGCGGCCCCCGGGCTAGTGTGGGCATGAGGAATATATGGCCTGTCCCCCACCCTCTTGCCCTCCCTCACTCCTTACCGTCCTTCCTCCCTCCTTGCCACCCTTCCTCCCTTCTTTCCGCCCTTCATGCCTCCATCACCAACACCCTTCCCCTCTGTTCACCCAAACGCCCATTCTCTTTCCTTCTCTATGCCCCTCACCCTGTCTGTGTCTCCCTGGCTACCCCTCCCCACACCCTCCCTTCCTTTTCTCCTCAATGTACGATGCCTCACTTCCTTCCTCTCTCCCTCCCTACCCTCTTGGACAATGCTCTTCAAGTTATACTAAACGTACAAAGAGGAGGAGGAGAGAAGAAGTGGAGAAGAGAAAGAGGAATAATAATTATCTGAGAAACTGGTATACAAGAAAGACTGCATTTTTTTTGTAGACGTTTGGCCATTATGATTTTCTGCAATGTCAGATGTTTCAGGCATAATTACCGTCGTAACTTTGCTTAACACGAGAAAGATTAAGTCGGGATTTGTTTACGGGTCACTGCGCCCCTCACACAAGAGACCACCATGCATCACTGTTAGTATCCCATTCCTTCAGTGCAGTCATATGATATTGAAGCTTTATTATATCTTTCGGTAAACGTTGGAGCGACAGTACTGTGTAGACATCGACGAGGCTGTGCGTGATAGAACGTGTTAACCCCATGCTATGCCTCTGATGTGTACCCCCCCGTGCTATGCCTCTGATGTGTACCCCCGTGCGATACCCCTGAGAGTTGTCCCTTGCACACACACACACACCTTCCAAGGGTCGAAGCTCATTGGCCCACACATTCCTCAGGTCTCAACACGGGGCCTGAGTAGAGGTGCTGTGGGATGGCGGAGACAACATCCACACACATATACACACCTTACCAAGGCTGTGCCGAGGTGCTTTGGGCATCTTGGGGACACACACACACACACACACACACACACACACACACACACTTTCCCAGCTCCAAATACACACCTCCGTCATCGCCCGCTCGGGACATACCCGCCATTGAAGGTAGGAATGTAACAACCATTCGTCCAGTGTGTTTTGGGGGCCCAGCTCGTCCTTGCTACAGTAATGTGATACAGCCTGGTCCTTAGGGTGGAGGGAAGGAGCGGGAACAAAATGTATAAAAATTCATTCCTGTCATTTTGAATATTTTTTTTTTAGATGTGTCAAGGTCTGCCACGTGATGGTAGTACACGACCGTCGTTTCGGGGTACAGGAGTGTCGCTTTTGGTTTACTGATCTTTTGTTGTAGAAGTTTTGAGTTAATGTACAATAGTATCAGCTTTTGGTGTAGAAAATAATGTCGTGTATAAGTGACAGTTTGTGTAGCATCACTTGGACACAACGGGAGAAGTGCTGCCACTGTCCCCAGGGTACTTTGCACTGCATTATTTGCCTCTGAGGTCAGCCAATCACCACCTACACCATTCTTCTTCCTCATCCTCCCCCCCCCCCTCCCCACTGTTCTCTTCACCACCTGGATCACCTTAGTGGTTGGTGAGTCATGTAGGTCCATGAATGATAGTGAAGGGTCAAAGGTGAGGGTATGTGTAGCACCGACGAGGTCACCCGTTCTCTCAGTAGGCCTGTTGGCCTTGTTTCAAGACGGTATGTAAATTACCCGGCACTTAACGGGAAGGTTTTATTGGTCCAGACGAACTTTGTACTGTACATGATGACGGAAGTTGAATTTTGTATTTATGCCTCAGAAATTTTCGCTGTGAATCGCGATGCTAGACACTATCTACACCAGAATACAAAACTGAGAATTACACGTCAGAAATCTATTTCTGGTCTAGAATGAGGTGAGGTGCACCGCGGGCTGCAGCCATCCGTCAGGGGAGGTCTGCCCCGCGCCCCCGCACTATCATTAGCGGCCAGGGAAGACTTTAATTACAAGGTGGACCCTGGCGGGGCATCCACTGGTCACTCGGGGTCAGGTTCATAGTGAATTTCCAGCAGTAGCCTTCAGTGACCCAGGTCATATAACGCCCTCTTGGGAGGTTGCTGGGATGTCACGAAACAATGTTCCTGGGTCGAGCAAGGTTAGAGGTGACCAGTGAACGTTGTCCTGGCAAAGGTGATGAATTTTTCACATTTTACGGTGATACGTGTAAATGACCTCTGAGTGTGTGTGTGTGTGTGCGCGAGTGACCTCACCAGATTAGCGTCAGAATGAACTGTTCGGCTCATCCTCGTCTGGGATTAGTATCTGAGAGAACAATTTTCTTTACAGTACAGTATTAAGTCTCGCCTCAGCTTGCTTGCTAAATGAAAACGTAAATATTTTGGGAAAATTTCAGTAGCAATTAACATTAACATAATAAACAAGTAAGATGCTCACGGCGACTTACGTTAAGTTGAGCACCGCTGCTGCCGGGTTACAATGGCTCCTTCACTGAGTGGATGGCTTTAACAATCCTTCTTCAGCGTCTTGTCGGGGAGGTCCGGTTATTATAAAAAATAAAAATTTCTCAGAATATAGAAGAGTGAGAGGTTGGTGGAGAGCGCCCGCCCCTCGTACGGTGAGGACTCATTGTTACATCAGCTGTTGCCTGGCCTCCCCGGCGTACTGTGCTCCAGCTACTTATTGGCGACTCTTGAAGAACTCACCTCTGGGGGAGATTGTGGAATAGCCTCTTGATCCCCCGACTCCCCCTTCGGTATAAATGAGTGAAGGGCAAGATTGTGGAGGGCAGATAAAGCCCCTGGAGGTACGGGGGCAGGTCTCTAGGGGCAAGAAGAGGGCAGGTGAAAGGGCAGTTCTCACGGCGGGTCGCAGGGGGCTACCGCCGAGAGGGGAAAAACCTTACGCCTTCTTTTTTTCCTTGGACTGAAAAGGCGAGGGGAGAATAGCCCAGACCTTCAGGAGTTATGGCTCACAACAACACGTTAAGACTCCCGAAAATGACTCGTATAAAGGGTCTGTCATTTAGCACTCTCTTATCGTGGTCTCTTATAATTCTTTTAATTTTCCTTTGTTCTTTGCGTTCGTATTGTCTGGGCGGTTCTTGAGCTGGGCATTGTTCCGTCGGGGCAGGACAGCGCCAGAGTCCCCCGAGGACCAATAACGATGGAGTCTTACCTCGGGGTAGAAAGGTGTTCGACCTTGGATGTTTACCATTAGTCTGTTGTTGTTGTTTATCCCAAGTAGCATGTTATTGGTTGTCTTCAGTGGTGCTGATTGGTGTATGGTGTCTGTCGTGATAAATGGTGCTTCTAACTGGTGTGGGTTGTGTGTGGTGCCTTTAGGTAATGCCTGGCGCCTCACACCCTTTATATAAGAGAAGCAGTTTTGGATACAGGTAACATGACACCGACTATGATGTACCTTGGCAAATGTTCACAGGTCGGAGTAACCCTTGTGTACCCTTGTAGTCTTGGACGACCATACTAAGGTGCCCTTGTCTTTGCCCTTCCAGACGTACGGTTCACCTCCAACCCTCCGTCCATGGTGGCGGCGGCAGCGGTGGCCTCAGCTATCCAGGGGATCCTGCCGAGACACGAGAGCGAGGACGAGATGGCGGCGGCAGCACCCATTGCCGTAGCGCCTACCAGGGCGCAGCAGTACATGCAGGACCTTTACCACAGACTCACCGCCATCACGCAGATCGACACTGTGAGTCTATACATCCTTTAGCTGACCTTACTGTCGACTTCCTCTGAGTATCCTGTCTCGACTGTGTGAGCCCTGTCTGTGTTCTTTTTCTATCTGCCTGTGCACTCTTTCTCCAGCTACCTGTGCACTCTGTCTCCAGCTACCTGTGCACTCTTTCTCCAGCTACCTGTGCACTCTTTCTCCAGCTACCTGTGCACTCTTTCTCCAGCTACCTGTGCACTCTGTCTACCCGTTTACTGTTGTTGTAAAAGGCATTGTTGCCCCATTATTATTTGTAGATTTCTCTATTTTATTCATCTATAATAAGACACTCATTTTACCGTCATTTATGTTGTTGTAATTTATCTTTATTGTGATTCTGTTATGTGTGTATGTGTAGTGGCGATGGTAGAGCTGTCCTCGGAGGTGTAATGTTTAGCATGAGAGGTCAGCCAGGGAGGGTGAGTGACCTACAGAGGTAAACACACAGGCACATGCACGTTATAACACCAAACACACACCGGCGTGAGGGGGACAAGGGCGCGGGTAGGCGTGGGGGAGTTAGGGGCCGCGGGTAGGCGTGGGAGGGCTAGGGGCCGCGGGTAGGCGTGGGAGGGATAGAGGGCGCGGGTGGGCAGGGGGGTAGTGCGGGTGGGCGTGGGGTCAAGGCTCGGGTCAAGTGCGGATGTGAGTCAGCCGCGGGAGGTGGGTGTTGGGCGGGTGGGTGGGTACTGTGGGTGGGCGGGTAAAGAAACTCACTCCTCCCTTATCTGTGTATCCGCCTCCTGCCACACACTCCCTCCATCCCTCTCGTTGAAATAATCAAGTAAATATTTTCTGGTTAATTAATTATTTTTACTTCAATGTTTTCGTCGCGTGATGAAGGTGTTTTATGCTAATTGATACCCGGACAGTGAGATGCAGTGATACGCGGATAATTATAAGCAACTTGAGGATAATAAAATGGTGATATGCGAAATTAACGTAAGAAGATAGCGCGGCAAAGGTTAAACTAATATTAAATCAAAATAGAAGAGAACATCGCCCGTTTAGGACATGACAAAGTTGACACAGCACCACAAGGGTCGCACTAGGGAGGAGAGCCTGGCAGCACAGGATTCATCTACACTGTAGCAAAATTTGGGATGTAGCAAGGAGCCGCTTCGCACTTGTTAATAATAAGCCTAAGCTCAGCAGTAAGAGGCTCTATGTAAACCTCCCCGTGTACACCACTGGCCAAGAATGTGTGTGTATATACAGTATATGGGAACGTTTGTGTGTTTACTGGCGCACATGCAAGTGGCGGGCGTCGCACAAAGGTCTCTAAAACACTTCTCGTGTAGTCCAACATATGGGATCTTCTCAGGTGGTCGCGCGTGACGGAGCACCGGGGAGGGAGGCGATGGGGGTGGGGGGCAGAAGGGACCTGTTTGCAGCCCCTAGATCACCCTGTACCCTTTAATTAACTACCTTTAGTGTGTCTCAATCTACGGCGGAGGTTACTGGAGGGAGGAATCATCACTACAGGGTTTCTAGAGGATGGCAAACCCTGTAGTGTGGTGTTGTGGTATGCTGGTGTAGAGCCGACTGTAGGCTTCCTTCATGGGTTCTCTGCCACTTTCCCACTCCCCAGCCCGCCCCCTGACCTCTGTTGCTAGCTTGTCCGCCCTGCAATCTGGAGCAATACAGTGTGCAAACAAACTCGTGATAAGATGTGATGGGTGTCCAGACGAAGGGGGTGTCGAGGAGGTGGGCTCTCTCCTGCTGCTGCTGTTGTTGCTGTCACTCGTGTACTTCCCGCCCTCCATCTTGTACTGTACTGTCACACATTACATGGTCTACTGTGGTGGCTGAGGACTTATATTTAATATTTATTTCTATTTGTCAAACTATTTTTTTCTTGTCGATAGCAAATACTGAAGTCACCAGGTATTATTGTTTCACAGTCGGACTTAATATAGTTATGATAATCGCAACAAAATGGTCCACAGACTGCGGGCGGCCGGCAGAAAATGCCATCTTGGGTAGCAATATATCCAGCCATTAATAAGCCCTCCAGGTAATCATCGAGTACGTCTGGTCTAAGATTGTTATATTCCTCCTTGGTTATTATTTTGGTGGAGTCCTGGTGACAGCTGGAAGAACTGGTGCAGCTCACCTACCGGGATTGATGATGTATTGGTGAGTACCGGGTGATGTTGAAGAGGTGCAGGTGTGTGACATCAACTTGTGTAGTGTCTTCTTATGGAGTGAACTTTCATCTTTATCCTTCCACTTCTGCCTCGCCTCCCTGATCCTCGCTACAGTGGTGAGTTGTCTGCAGCGAGAACCTCGAGTGTCAGACAAACACCCAGTAAACAGAGAATGCTACACATCCACCAGTATTCACCTTTTTTTCTTAATCGGCGATAGATTACGTGTATCCATGAGTGGCTTCCTGTGCCTGGCCACGTTATCTTTCCTGAGTCAGGTGTGTGTGTTTACGTGACCATCAGGTGTTCATCTCTCACCTGTGCTTCTTCTGGTTGGTAATATTTACCTCCTGGCTTGATACACAACCATCATCTCTTCTACATCTTCTTCTCGTTATCTTCCTTTCCATCTCCTATTTTTGGCGAGGGAAGAGGCTTAGGAAATAGTTAAGGAGATGCGCATGGCGGCCACTGTGGTGCTGGCGTCACTCCTCCTGTACCCCAGCACCACTTCCCCTGGGCCTTGTAGAAGATAAAACCTGAAGGTTGACGGTAAACCTTGCCTCATGTTTTGTATGTCACCTCTTCCCTGCTCTCTCCTCATTTTCGCTTAATGATCCATCTTCGTTTATTCTGTCGGATTCTAATTACGCTTCTCCCCCCTCAACCTCACCCTGCCTCCCATGTCCTTGTTTCTTTTTCTCTTTTCCTCCCCGTTGTTTTTGCCCCGCCCTGTGCCTCCTGTGGATCGTCTCCCTCAACCGCCGGAAACAAGAGGAAGCGCGGCCCTCTGCCCCTCCCAGTGGGTGGTGAGGGTGGGGTGGGGCGGGGCAATATATATGGTCGCCTTGGTCTCGATGTTTTTTGAGGACGAGGTCAGCCGAGGAGGTGGACGGGGAGACAGGTCGTCATTTGACCTCAGCTCTCCCCCTCCAGTTACTGTTGACTCTCCGGCTCTGTGGTGTGGAGGAAGTTAGTTCATGCCCGTCACAGGCCAAGCAACGCGGGAATTTGTACCCTGCAAACATTGCCCATTTTGGGGGGGCGACATTTCCTGTTCGTTTTTTTCCTCTTTGGTGTCCACAGATTAACTACATTCCATATTTTTCAGTCATGCCATTGAATTCTTCATTAACTCTGTGCCAACTTAAGAAACACTTATTAAGACTACGGGTCTTGTTACACCCGTAGCAATTCAGTTGGTGTCGCTTCAGCACAGTCTTGTAACTTTGTCTGATCATCATAAATTTGGTAATGGTGCACCAAGACGAGGCACTGAACACTTATGGTGGGTCGACAGTGTCAGGCCTCGTCAAGTACACTGAGTGCCAGATACTGACGTTGTCTCCTTCAGAAACTATTTTTTTTTCTGGTGAGCAAGAGAGCCTGTTGTGACGTGGTCGTCAGTGTCCCGCCGCCACTTGTTCTAGTTGAGGTTGTTTACAAACCTTAAACTAATAAAATAAACCAAGTGCTCGGGTCCTCTGACGTGTAAAGAATGCAGCCTGAAAACTGAGACGTCCTCCAGACTGTAGGCCTACGGGGAGGGATCAATAAACCTTTAAGAAACAATAACTTTCTTGTAGTCTTAGGTGTGTCAGACGTAGTGTTGTGAGGGGCGTTCTGAGCTACACCATTTTCCCTCAAACAAGGTTCGAGAACATTACCCCATATTTGGTAGTCTCAGTACATCTGAGCGTAGTCGCTTACTACTTTGGTTAAGTAACATAATGATCGTTCTTTTATCTCACTTTAGGAGAAAAAATTTACGAGAGAAAGTCTGTTTACACATACCCAAGGGAAAGTTAAACTTCGAACGGTATGTTGAGCGACAAATGAGCGGGAACAGTGTCAGCTGTTGAACGTATATTTTTTCCCACTTGTGAGAATTCATCATGTGGTCAGTAGATGGTGTGTCACTTGAGTCTTTGTGGTGCTACGGATCACTGGTTGTGGGAGCCGTGTGTCTAGCAGCTTGAGGTGACCCAAGATGACCTGCACAAGACCCCGGCTCCCTGACCAGCCCCCACCCTCCCTGCCTCACATACACATACTCTGACCAATATCGAACCTCTTCGTGTAAGATAACTTCAGAGGAACTTGCTTTCATTCCCACGCTTAAATATTTACGTTTGTTTGATTCCTAAATAATTGATCAAGTTGTTCCATACACACGGCACTACTGGGCGTACATAACTTTACTTTTTCATTAACTTACAAACAGGTACTGATAGAAAGATAGGTACACAGACACTTACGGGTACACTTAAAGCCACGGGTACTTTTAGAGACACTTACAGGTACACATAGACACGGGTATTAATACGTAAATTTCAAAACTGAAAATAGTATTCAATTACTAAAGATTTTTTTTAGGTTAATATGATCAGAGGAAGGGGATATTTGGCGGGCTGGCGTCCTACCCGCGTCCCTTTCTTCTAGGGGCGGCGGCCCACATGTAAGAGGACACTGATCGTTGGGCTGGGACACCGCCACGGCCAGGGTGTCCCCATGCCAGTATAGCTTTTAAAGACGAGCCACATCTTCCTCTTCATTAACTGGCTTTGAGGTGGGCACGAGGTTCATAAATTGTCTACACTATTTCATGAGAGATGGAGTGCTGGAGATAATACACGCACGGACCAAGGGTTTTTTGTGATATGAAGCTGTGTGGTTCCCAGGTCCTTCCCCGATTGTGACCTGGTGTTTCCTCAGCTTGTCATGGCTGCCAGGTTCCGGCGAGCCACGTGGTGTGAGTCGCAATAGTGCTTGTGGGGTGTTTATCGCCGCAATCCCGAGTCACTGCCCGCGTCTGGTGGTCGTCCTCGTGGCGACCAACAGTTTCGTCACACCCCGAGTGACACACATGACGGTGGTGGTATGTTAGGGGTGAGGGTGGGGACATTCAGTCAGCTCTCATATTGTATTTAGGGGTCAGATGGTGATCTGGGCGGGTGGTAATGGGCGGGGGACGAATTCTAGCCGTGGGTAAGTAGATTTTAATCCTTTGGTAGGGGGTTTCTATCTTTTGAAGGGGGGGCAGAATCTGATTCCAGGAGCTCTCCCCTACACGTCCGTCCACTGCTTGTGCCTGGGATGGTAGGGTGGTGAGGGTGAGGGAAGGTGCTATGACCCAGGGTGGTGAGGGGGAGGGGTGGGTGTCTGGTGCCAGTAATGACCGTGACTGCCTCCTCTCCCCGCCGGAAGTGCCACGGGTCGCCTGTTACTCTCCGACCACTCCCGTCCGGCTATGTCCTGCCACCCTGCATGTGTCCTGCCACCCTGCATGTGTCCTGCCACTCTGCATCTGTGTCCTGCCACCCTGCATGTGTCCTGCCACTCTGCATCTGTGTCCTGCCACTCTGCATCTGTGTCCTGCCACCCTGCATCTGTGTCCTATCATCCTGTCTCTTTGTCCTGCCTCTGTCCTGCTATCCTGCCTTTGTGTACTGCCATCCAGCCTCTGTGTAGTGTTGTCTTGCCTCTGTGTCCTGCCATCCTGCCTCTGTGTCCTGCCACCCTGCCTCTTGTGTCCTGCCACCCTGCCTCTTGTGTCCTGCCACCCAGCATTATCGGGATTCCTTTTGCAGACTTGAAATCAGGCGGCTGAAAAACATTTTAATGTCGATTGGGAAGGCGGGGAAGGGCATTAGGGGTCATAGCTCGCAATTTTAGGGGTAATTTGACTTTGGTATTTGACTTGAAGGACGTTTGGCATGCATAGTACTTCAATATTCAGAGGGATGAAAATAACTTTACTTCTCTCATCACTTCCAATGCCACTGATAGCATTATGTGAGATTGATTGCTCTGACGTTACAAAATGTGTGACAAATAAAATAAAATTGGTTAAGGTCCATATTAAGGAATAATTCTTAATAATGGATGTTTCACATAGGAATTGGCCAGCAATAGTGAGAGGGGTAGTGTAGCAAGTTGCTGGTAAAAAATAAAGGATGTTCTGTTAAGCGTGGCTGACAAGATGTGTGACTGGATGAAGTGCTCAGGATGCATTTGTGGATACGGGTATGCTGAATAGTGTGGATGCTAGAGGTGAAGTGTACAGAATAGCAAGAAAAAGAGTGGGTAGAGAGCAGGACGTTGTTGGTCAGCACTGCCTGGGAATTAACTACGGTAATGTGGTTGTTGATAATGAGGAAATCAAGGATGCTGGAGTAAATACTCTGATCGTTTGCGGAATAAGCAGTTGGAAGAGTACAGGGGCAGTCGAGAAGCAGCCAAGTCAGACCAGGGACCATGCTGAAAGATCGAAAGTGATTGGCAAAATGTAGAACAGAAAAGCTGCTGGTAGCTCTGGGATAATAGCAGAAACGTTGAAAGCATCAGACTGTTGGCATGACGATGGTAACCAAATTGGTTAATGCATTTTTCAGTTGACTGGCAAAAGAGTGCGATTGTGACTACTTTCTGTACAAGGGACAAGGTGATGTACAGTACCCTGGTACTTGTATAGGAACTACAGGGGGCTGAAACTGTTACATCAAATAATGAAAATTGTGGAAAAATTGACTGAGAAATTGATATGGGAGAGACTAGACATTAAGGTAGGGGACTACTGAGGCAATGCTGTATTGATTACCAGGCAACTACTGTACTAGAAAAATATCTAGGGAAGGGGAAAAGCTGTAGTTTATATTTGTAATAAGAGAAAGCATTTATCAGTGTACCATATGTAGTAGTACAGTGAGCAATGAAAAAGTTAAGGGTTGAGAAGTGTCTTCGAGTGGTAGTGACATTGTATGAGGGCTGAAGAATCACTGAGAGAGTAAATGGTGAGGAATTTGAGGTGAAAGTAAGGGTCCGTCTTTGCCCCCTTCTGTTTGTCATGGTGCTATAGGTATTATCACAGGATTTCAGGACTGGTCAGCCTTTGGAGTTGTTGTATGTTGATGACTCAGTGCTGATATCAGATAGTATTGAAGAGGCAGTGGAGAAATATAAGAAATGGATGGATGGAATTAAATCAAAGTGTATGAGGTAATTTTGCAAACAAAAAAAGTACTGATTGATTGCATGTGGTAGAAAGATCAAAATAGCCATGTGCTGTATGTTAGGAAGGTATTGGGAGCAACAAAATAATGTTCAACGAGTGTGGAAGTTTGGGTGCAGAAGAGGTTCAGTGGTATAAATGGTAGACTGCAGGATGTTGCTGACTTTAAGTGTGCTGTATGTGCAGGTAATCTTGTGATCTTAACAAGACTGAAGAAACTCAACATTTGGGATACTGTAGATCCCTGGACTGTGTTGCCATCTGGGTGATCAGATCTAATCAGTGGTGGTTGTGGTGCTGAAGTTACAGTAGCTCAGTTGCAAGAATCAGGAGTGGCTGGAAGAAGTTTAGGGAGCTGCTGCCATTTATGATGTGAAAGGAAAGATGAATGCAACTACTGTGAGAAGTGTGATGTCATATGGCAGTGAAACATGGGCATATAAAGAGTATGGCATATCTAGGCTTGATCAAACATATATGATATTGGAGAGATGAATGTGTAATGTGACACAGAAAGATAGGAAACCCTCTTCAGAGCTAAGAGTGCGTCCAGGTATTGAAAGTACTGTATTAGCGAGGTTTTGCACAGAGGTAGGCTGAGATAGTTCAGGCAAGTGGAAGGAATGAAGGAGACCAACTAGGTCAAGAGGTCATAAAGCCTAAATGTGGAGGGGAGGAGAGCCATGGGTAGGCCAACAATGAAATGGGGAGAGGTTGTAAGACATGACCTCAGAGACAAGAACCGGATATAGAGAGACTGCAAGAGACCACAGACCATGGAGAGTTGCCATCAAGTAATCACATCTTGACCCATACAAGTGTGGAAAATTGCCATAAAATGGTGATGATGGTGATTATGATTAGATTGTCAGCCATTAATGATAAGTTCTTTGTTAACCTTTTCTTTAAGGAGTAGAGTGCTTGGTTGAAATGTATTTCTAACAATGAATTTTGTTTTGCAGGACTGTCTAAAGGAGTGCCACCGTCAGATTGAGAACTGGACACAGAACAATGGCGAGGGTGCCTCTATGTCTGCATCCACCACCCCGACAGACATGCGGGAAGTTATGTTCTGACAGAAGTACCGACCCGCCAATCTCCCCGGTAACCCTCGCCGCCTCCCTGCCTCCCACTTCGGGAGCAGTGACTCCCCACTGGGGTCCCCTGGGGTCAGCCCCAACACTGCCACATCCTGCAGTCGGTGACTAGGGGTTTGTGAAGCCCTTTGGTATCGACACCACCGGCATGGTTGTTGCTGTCCTGCCGGTGTTGGTGTGGGGCCTGCCGCCCCCACCCATCCCCTAAGGGACGGTTGTCCCCACCACGCCTACCATGTGCACAAGCTAGTCGGGTCGCTAATTTATATCGGATATAAATTGACATTAGCTATTGCTATTGCTACTGCTGTTTTGGACATATATTTGTCCAACATGAGCGCTCCTTTCCCACTGTATGTCCCGCGGACACTTGCCACCCACTACTGTCACCACAACTAAGCTTCATGTTTCCTTATGCTGCATATCTTCCACTTCAAGGTCTGTCTGGCCTGTGGTAAATGCTGAAGCTTGACAGTAGTTGAAACCTTCCTGTCAAATCCTTTGGATATTGAGTGTGACATCCAGTGGCATCTTGCAACTGTATTGTCTTTGCTGGAGCCCGACAGTTAAAGGAAGTTTCATCCACAAGTGTATTTAGTGCCTGCCTGCCTGCCTCCAAGACCAAGCACTCACTCTGGCACATTCTGCTTGGGCTGGTACATATCAAGATCTTGTTCGCGGGCTTCCTGTAGATGGGACCAAGAAGCCTTCTGCTGTGGGGCATTTTCCATGAGCTGGAATATCTCCTAGGAGATGGATGTCTGCCAGCCAGACAATCCAGCAGTTACCTGCCAGCACCATGGAAACTGAAGCTATAACAAACCTTGTGTAGCCTCCCGCGTCCTATGCATGATAGGCACCAAAACTGTGATTCATTTTCTACTAATACGAACATTATAAAATGCAAAAAATATGTAAATGAACTGTAAGAGTACTTTTTAAGATAAATTTGGATGTGATATAACATTAGAGTCGACACGTATGATTAAGGTCAGATGACAAGAGTAGGGTAAGAGTGTGAGATCCAAGAGCACTATGATTGGGCATTATTGGGTCCATTTATTGAACCACACATGAAGCACCATCACATTATTTTGTTCTTTAGTTTCTTGATTATGTTAAAAACATCAGCCTTTTTGATACCATGTGTAAGGCATAAAATTTCTTCCATTTGGTAAACATAAAAGGTACTGTAGTACTGTGGTGACAAAGTTTTACAAGTGGTCAATAAGACTCTGTGTTCCATTAGTGTGCCCATGATAGAAATTCCCCATGTGTGTTGTTCTTGATCAGTGTCAAAACTGTTAACATGCACATATTATGCTTATTGTGCATATTTCTACCAAGCTTTCTGAAATATATTATATCTTCTCATATGTTGTCCAAGCCAAGATGTTCTGTTACTCGCACTTCTTCCCAGCTTTACTCTCCACGAGATACTGTACTGTATTTACATGTTATTCTCTCATTTACATATTGTTCTCTCTTCAGAACCTCACTATGTACTGTACAAGGCATTTTACAGATATTTACACTTTTTGGTTTCACAATACAGCACACAAGATATTTCCTCAAGATGGTCAGTGTTAGAAATATATCACAAACAGGTCTGTAAGATTTTTCTAAGCAGACAACACAAATCTAATCTATTGATCATAAAGTAGTTTTGGTTAGGTTAGGATGGGTTTGGTTGGTTCATGTTGCTTGAAAAACAAGTGGTTTTCCTGTCCTGTTTGTGGCTTTTTTTTAACACTAATCATTTTCCCTGGATATTTCAACTTGTCATTATCAGTATACACCGAATAGTTTCTTGTTATTCCTCCATTTCATCATAACTTCACAATGGATGTTTATTTGTTACTCCCTTTCCTTATTATCACTGTTTACTTTGTCTGAAGTTTAGGTTTTATCTGTTCCACTTTCCAGTTTCTCTAGTCTTCTTTTATTATTTCAGTAAATCTAGTTTGTCTACAGCGTACTGTTACCCTGAGCAAACCTGCACTGTAAGTTTGTTGTGTTGGGAAGATGTGCTTAGCTCCCCTTTATTTATAATGATTTATTTAAAACTTATTTAATGCATGTTTGCTTTTTTCTTGGGATTAAGAATATGGGTCATTTTATGAAGAATTTTACACTGGCTTGATAATGCTTTTAAGATGTGTTTCCTCAGCAGAAGAACATGACTCGGTTGATCCACCTCTTTTATATGAGTTAACAGTTTCTGCTTTGGGTATGATAGTCCTGCGAGTTTAACAGGGGCGGATAACAAGACCTTGTTTTGAGTGCTTTGTTTTGCAAGTATAAATCTTTGAAATATCATCTAATGTAGCTAGACTTTTTCTATATACAGTAGATTTTTTCAAGACACTTCATTCATTACTTCCTCCACCATACATCTGATATTGTATTTTACATTTAACAACTACTGTACTCAGATCACAAACATATAAGAAAACAATTCACTTGTAAATTTCAAGTGATTCTTTATTGTTTGTAAATACTGATCATATTTTGCAGGTGATTTCTTTAGTTAAATGAAGTAATATTACATAAATTATAATCCAAATTGATGTGTGAGAAAACATATCAGCAATTGCATTGGAGCCAAGTCAGCCAACAGTATACAATATAGTGAGTTTTGAAATGGATTTATGATAATCTGGAAATATTTCAATATTCAGGAAAATTCAAAAGGTTGAGAAAAATTCATCCATACATACATACATACATACATGCATACATACACTTATAGCATGAAGTGCCAGTCTACATATCCATCTCCAAACCTCATAATGCACAGTTTACTGAAGCAGTGATCTAAACACCACTCCTTGACCCCCTGCACTTCATACTTTCAACTTCACGGGTATTTAAGAAAAAAGAACGTCTCATTACAAGATCTTGATCTGCCCCTGTATTGGTGCAGCACATGATTTACGTCATCAGGACCAGCTATAACTCCTTAACTTTTATTGTTTATATATGAATTATCAGACACTAATTTTGTATAGAAACAAGAGTGTCTTGATTGTAATCATTATTCTGTCTGTTAGACACACCTTCAACATAATACAGACTTCTCGAGTAACCACTTGTGTTGGTTGACTTTATTTCTTGCATTAGATTTCTTTAGTGATTGTTCATTCATAGCAGTGCCTACTTATATTCAGTACTGTACATCTAACCACTACTCAGTGAGCCGAGGGAAACTATAATACTGTTCATCCTCAAGTTGGGTAGGGCAACGATGACGAATTCTTCCCCAAGGCATGGTATTTCTTTTAGGGCCTAGTGCTGTACACTTATTCTACGCTTACTTTACAACATTATGCACACTTATCTAGTGTTGTACAGTTTTTTTTATGTATCATGAAACACTTAGGTATTGCTTGTAGTCACTTTACAGTACATGATAAACTAATCTACTAAAATATGCATGGGTGGTAAAGTACAAGAAAATATTACTGCAAAGCAAAGTCATGCCTTGCTGTTGTAGCTGGCACTTTTTTTTTTTTGCCTGTTGTTTTCCTTCTCATTCGTTATTGTTGTTTTTCCTTTCAAGGTATCATGGATTTTTATAAGCTTGAAGATAAGACAACTGAATTTTTTTTAATTACAAAATTTTGAAATTTGAATATACTGTTATACAAAAACTAACTCATTTGTGCAACTTGATCAAGGTTGGCCCAGGATCAAAGGGAGAGACATTTTAAAAAGATTGAACTGAAACTAATTTTCAGTATCTTTGATAGTTGCATTTTTATATTGAATTTATTTTAAAATATCCTGATTTCTGTGCATCAGTTATTTGCTCCCAAAGAAGTCTTTTTTCTTGCTTTATAGTCAACAAACATCTACCAAGCAATGAATGTATGGTCATTAGAACAGGCCCAAGCTTAACTCATCTCAAAGAACTGTTCCTGAATTAGAGCCAAAGTCTCAACCTTAATTCCTGTTCCTCCTGTGAGATGTCACATATGTCCTTCCTGCACTTACCTCTTTTAAGGTACAGATGTGTTGAGCGGAAGCAGAAGATGCGTGAAGCATTCTTTGTAAGGAATGTTGGTTGTAAAGTTTTCTAATATACATGTTCCTAGAGGGTTTAATTTAGGAATTTACACAGTCCAGGAGGAAAACTTACTTTTCACTAGTTATACATACTTTCTTTTATATTACTATGGAAGTAAGGAGATCATGGAGTGTTTCATACATCTTTTGATTTGTTCCACCATCATGCACCCTAGAGTAGCATTTCTTGAGTCAGTCATAACTTTACTGTAGGTGACCAGGGCAATATATGCAGAACATATTAAACAAATTTACCTATTACAAAAGTACACTGTATATTTATGTGTAAAATACTAAAAAAATTCAGATTTCATAAGTTATAGCTTCATGTGTGCTTTTCTGATGTATTAGAAAAGTTAACATCCTATGTTATGTTTGGCTAAGCGGGGAACTGAAATAACCCTTTTCATTTTTATTTAGTTAGTTTGCCTTATCTGTTGAGTCAAGTTCTGCATGTACGGGTTCCCTGGGAAGTTCTTCCTATATCCCAGGTATGGTCCAGTCAAAACCAATCAGAATCAACCAAATAATAGTAATTGCACTCTCATTACCTCATTTCACCTCTTGTCTCCTATTGTTCTAAAGCCAAGGGATCAGTCAGCTATCATTGTGACATTCAATGTCAGGATGACTTTCTACCCATGTTGTACCTAATGAAAGTTCATAGAATACAACATTGAATATCATAAATTGATATGCTACATTTTATATGAAATGATTTAAGAGCATATCAAACACTACAGTCAGCAACTTATCCCTTTTGGCTTAGTTAAATTCATATATATTTGATTTTCACTTTACTATCTGAATTCATTAGGCCCCAGAATAATCACAAACAATCATTAGGCCCAAACAGCAAAAGCTGCCAAACAGTCAAGGAAACAGAGGTAGCGTTCCTGAAACCCGATGAACTCAGACTCTAATGTGACTTAAGTGTTTCTACCACAGTGGATAGTTGAAGTGCACTGAATATTTGGTCAGAATGAAGTGTCATTAGAGTCTTGGTTCATCCTTATGTTCTGGACGCAACCAGAGAGAAGGAGACGTTCATTCAGTAATGACGGGAACTATTGTAGTCAGTGTGAACAGTTTATAAGCTGTTTCTTTTTATATCCTTACTCAGGTTGAGAATGTAAAATCTGTAAATATTTATAAAAACTACAAATATATTTAGAAAAGTAAATTTCTTGTTTTACTTTCCATATCACATTACAACATACCATGTTTTAGATGATAAATAGTAATTTGAAAGAATGAAAGAAAAACAAACAGATGAAAAAATGAAGGTGTACGTATACATTTATGTGTCAACATAAACATTTAGCACTTTCGAATTTGTACATTTGGAAGATGTGTGCTTTGAAACAGAAGAAGGTAAAGGAGTTTTATCCACATTATTAAAAACAACTGTCAAGGGAATACACTGTATTGAATGATCAATGAAGTTCATGTGGAATAAATTGAAGATAAATACTATGTATAAGAAATTTCCACAATAACCAGGTCAGTAACACTTGTCATAAAACTTTAACTCCTGTATCAATTACTGTACACTTAAGAGTGGTAATACAGTGAGGTCTCATCCAACATGGGGTTGCATGCTTGAATAATACTTGATTGGGCAAATTTGATACCTTATAGAAAATTAGGGTTAGGTATAAAGATGCTGTACATAAATAAAAATAAAAAATATTAATGTGTATATGTATATACAGTAGATACAGAAATGTAATACTGTACTGTACTGTACATAAGGTTGCACCCACCAATGAAATATGAACCTGTGTCAATCACATGTTCATATACAGTAATTTACATGCATTTTCCCATATGGTTATGCCATCATTAACAGAACCTTTATTGCTTATTTGATCATTTACACACTTAATAACTTACACAACTTTTCAATAGTGTACACAGAGGTCCTTACACTAGCATGAATCTTCTTCTCACAATCACAAACAGTGTGTATGGTCAACAATCAAAGGGAGCTGGTGTCTGAACCTCACGTAGCTTGTCCATACAATACTCACTATTTTCTCGGTTAATGTCATTACCTCATGTGGGCTCTTCACTGCACTACTACTAACATACAGTACAGTATTACAATATTTACACCTAGTGGCATCATGTGGTCAAGGGCACACTGCAAAAGCACATACCTGTACGAACAGTACAAAATTCTCACCCCTCGGCATTAGAAACAAACTGAGGAACTAGTAAACTGTTTTAGAAAAGGCAGCAGCTGAGATAATATGTGTAATCAACTTTAATCAGTATTTATTTAAAAAAATTCACATTTATTTATTTGAACTATGTACACTCGCAAAAAAAGTATCGGTGCATACTGTAGTGTGAACAATTTGAGACCAGTGACGATAGGTATTGGGAAAGGTGAGTTGTTCCAGCCGTATGTTGGCAGCCCTGATTGTCAGCCATATGGCAACACCTAGTGAGGAGGGGGGGGTTATGAGGATACACTTACCAACCTTCCCGACATATCACAGTGTATACGTATCGTTTCGGAACTCGTCGATCTCATCCTGCACCGATACTTTTTGGTGCGAGTGTACAATCAAATCCACATTGAATAAACCAGTGATGGACAAGACCCTTCTGTACAGTATTGGCCTTCAACTTCACATTAGTGTCCCAAAGATGTTAATTGGCCTATGATTTATCTGTTTTGTTTTTGTTTTTTTAAAGTACAGCAATTTCAACCACAATATCTGCCATTGGTTTCATTATGATAAGAATATTACTTAGTGAAACTTTGGATTTGGACTGTCCTCAGCCAAATGAATATGAAACTCATTTCCTGCAATCAACTCTTGAGGCACAGCATACAGATTACAGTACATTCTATTCAAGTGTTTGTTGTTCTGATATGTGATCCATACACCAGGCACAAGGCAGATGTGTACTGCACAGTAGTACTTTGTGTGAAATGATCACAGCTAGAGACACAGAGTAACGATTTCAATTGTGTGCAAGCACGACTCCTATTTTCACAGGATTCCTGTACAGTATCAATATTCAAGATAATAATAGTCACACCTTTTAAACACACTACTGTACTTATAGGCTACTGTATCAGACATATACTGTATTTTACAATTACTGTTCGGTAAGTTATCAGTACTGTACGTACAGTAAAATACAGTACTGTGCAGTACTGTACTAATAAATATCTTCATATAGCCTACAGGGTGTACTTTCACTACTGTTCTGTGTTTTGTCAAGTATAACCATTTACTGTAAACATGTAGCTAATACCTTGTAATGCCTTTCGGTCAACCTCCGATTGGTTGGGATGAACTTAATACAAAAAAGCCCTTGGCCAGGGTACATTTAAGGCCCCTTTTGGTACTTTTATACCATCTAATTCACTCAAGTTTCATAGATTTTTTGGCAGAGATATGTGGTAAAAAAATAAAGCAAAAAACAAATATAAAATATTTATTTTAGTTTATACTAATTGTTTATTCATCTGAATACTGAAACTGCACACATGGATAGAATACAGTATTATAAATAATATAACATACAAATTAAAACCTTTTGGGCTTCCTCCTTTATCCTTAATTTTAACATCTTAGGGGCTCTGGGCCCCCGTTTGCCCTGCATTTAATCAGGCCCTGGACACCCTTATGTAACAAACCAGACTACAGTACAGTATACAAATCAGTCTGAGCTAACCTACCTAAACTAACACAAACCAACTCGAGCAGCTTAGTGAGCTGACCAGGGGAGATGAGAATGAAGTTGTTTAAGTAAAAGTACTGTATAGTAGGTAGTAGGCAGCTATCAAACAGGGAGGTACTACCACCTGGGAAGATATTGGAAGCATAATGTGTTGTCTAATGGTAGATCCTGCTGCCATATGGCACCACGAAAATTGTGGCCAAGTCCCTGGTTGTTGACTTTCTGCCTCATTTACACACAATTGCAGGGTCTCAATTGTTTCTCTTACTTTGACAACACAACATACATACAGTATATCATTTCTCACTCTTGATATTTTTTTTAACTTTTGTATTATTATTATTATTATTATTATTATTATTATTATTATTATTATTATTATTGTTATTATATTATATTTTCACCCCCCAAGCCTTGATGTGTATCATTAAAAAAACCAATAGAACACTTGCCTCTCACTTCTATACAGTATACTGTATTCCGGGTTCAGTGGATCAGGTCATACGTGAGAAGGGTGTTGTCAGGTCATATGTGAGAAGGGTGTTATCAAAGTGTGATCCATTCAAACTCAGCAGGTATTTTCTACCTGTAGTTACTCCGGTTTTCTTCTGTAATAATACTGGACAGTGGAGGTCACAGCAAAGAACAGGATGACGCTCAAAAGTCAATAGTTTAACCCCTTTATTACAGGGACGCCACGTTTAATATTTTATGATTGTGATACATACCAATCAAATGAATTTTTTATAATTAAGCCATTTGTAATAAGTATAGAAAAACTATTCTAGGGACACAAGAACAGGAAAGGAATCAATATATTATTTTGGTTTAAGATAATAGTATTAAACCAAAATAATATATTTATGTATTTCCGAGGGAAGGTGGCCTATGTAGGATTGTTCGTGGTAATTTTGCAAATGGCTGATTCCACCGACTTATACCGATTTCGTTTTAAAATATATTACAAAAACATAGTTTCTATACTAGTACAGTAAATTCCTTTGTCTTTTAACGTCTATTCTGGCGTTTTCATCTATTCTGCAAGAAATACGTGAATGAACCTATAAATTTCGTTTTTAAATATGTTTACCCTTAGCTATGATAGAAAATAAATATAAGACTTAACAACAGAAAACGTCAAGGTATTTTGTTGGCTGGTAATGTTTATCCTAAAGCTGTATATTCATCATTGTCATGCAAATATAGGGTGTCCTTTTTAATAAAATTAATTAATACAAATCATAATAAAATACTTTCTTGGACAGAGAATAGTTTACATTAAATGACTTAAAAAGTATGGAGAGTACATTATATTAAAGCTGAGTTTGTTGACAGCTACCATGGCGGCTTCCTCACCTGACAGCGATCTTGGCAGCATAGATTGTTTCCAAAATTATACAGCTCCAGAAGTGTTTGTGCAAGGACTAGCAGGACAGATCAATCAACAGGATGTAGAAGCTATAGTACGAGCGCAGAAACAAATGTAAGTGAAGTTGGTATAGGTTGAGACATGTGGGAGTGTCTGGTGAATGATAAGAACTGGGAATCCATGGCATCTTAACTTTGGCAGCAATACATTTGGGGGAAATATTGGAGCAGACTGTTAGCAATAGAAGAAGTTTGTGGAATCCTTTCATATTTCCACCGTTGTTTATATTTTTTTTACATAAGAGTATGATGTTGACTTGAAGTAGCTGACAAATTGTACAATCTTGTAGGTAGCTACATGCAAATCGTTGTATATAGCAACTAGGGCATCCTTAATTTCCAATGAAAATATCATAGAAGAAAAGTGTCTTAGAATTGCTTAAAGTTTAAACATTCAGAAAAAAACATATTTCTAACACTGAGAGATAGAACGGTGCACTAACATAAAAAGGCCACCCGCTGCTGCCTTCATATTGGTGCCCAAATTTTCTTCCTACAACTATGAGAGGAATCCAAATTTTTGCACACATTGCTGTAGGCTTGAGCTCGTCTTGCCAGCGCTGACGATAGATGGTCCATAATTTGTGTTACAACAACGATTCAAAAATTTTCGCTTGCTGGGAATTCTGTCTCCACTCTGTGTCCGTGTTTTTCTGGCTAAATAAACTGTTTCAATTCAATTCAATTCAACTCATACCGAGTGATGTAGATACCGGTACTGCTTTTACGTTTTTGATTACTGTCGTTCCTGTACTATTCAGTACCGGTCACCTCTTTTCTCTGGCTTCCAATCCCTAAAATACCGCCTAAGTGCAAAATGTGTTGACATATTATCCAAAGAGTTCAACAGCTCAATTAAAATAATTGTTGAATTCTTGTTCAACACGGGCCTAAAGAAATCACAGGCCTGAGGGCTGGCCTCACCAGCCATTTGGATAATCCACCGCTGGTGTAGTGTACAGGCATAGTATTCAACTGTGAAGGGATTAAGTACAATACATAATATATAAAATTCTGAATGATTAGGTACTATACTGTATCATTATATTTATCACATTGTTGTTTTGTTATTATGTACTGTATTATTATTATTATTATTATTATTATTATTATTATTTTTGTTATTATTATTACTATTATTAATACTTAGAATTCAAAATTCTTTTATTACCAAAGACTAGGATAAATATGGGTAATTTTTTGTTATCCACCCATTACCTTTTTTTCATGAAAAATAATTTTTTTTTTGCTTTCTTGCTGTTTTAGATGATTCTGACATTTAACTTTGGGGCAAATCACTTTTTTGTTTAGTTAGATTAGGTTAGGTGTTCTTTCTGTTTTAGATGATTAAAAATATGATAAAATATGATAAAAAATATATTTTTCACGTGAAAAAAGATGGTGAGTGGATAACGAAAAATTACCTAAATATGTATTATATGTTTTCATTCTACATTTGTTTTTATTTTAGGCTGCAGAGATTTGAAAAGACTAATGAGATGCTGAGCAACTGTAACTCTCTGTCAGCCACGATTTGCTCTTGCACAGAAGGAATTCAAGAAGCACACAACTCTCTTGATTGAAATGAAGAAGGATCTTGATAATGTCTTCAAACGTATCAGGACAATTAAAACCAAACTATCAAATCAGTATCCTGCTGCCTTCACAGTATGTACAATACTTCTCCTGTTTGTGTTTTACCATGATTCATGATATCTACCCATTGGTACTTCAGTTAGAATATATAAATGGAAATCATAGGTATACTGGTTGCATGCTGAGCCTTGCATCTAATCACACATTTGATGATAGGAGACTGAGAGGACACCCAGGAATTTAATTTATAATTGTGTTGCTATTGCATACAGTGCCAACAGTACAGTATATGCTGATAACCACATAGAAAAAAATACAAGTTCCCAAGCACTTTCTTGTAATTCATGAAAGCACTTGGGAACTGAGTTCCCTGTATGTGTTATCAACTATATATCCCAAATACTACTCGACTTACGACCTACCGACATACCACCGGACATCGACTACTGTCGATAAAATATTTTTCAAATTACGTATTTTCGGTCGGCGTTAGTGATACGCACTGTGTGCCGACAAAATTACGTTTGTAATTCCTTTAACCCTTTGAGATGGCATGCGAATAAACCACGCCAAAAATATTATATTAATTAAATCGATAAGCGGGGATATCCCTTGACGCCTTGAAACTTCCCCAAATGAGGGCGACATCACGGACATATTATGTATTGAGGTATAGGAGTATTTCCTGGTACAATATAAGCTTATTTTTGTACTAACTTGTTTGATATTATCTGAATATGTAATACATATCTAAATTTGCTGTTTAGTAACCAAATTGATTAGAATTTATTTGCCATATACCAGACATTGATTTATACCAATTTCCTGCATTTTCGTATAAAATCTCATTTTTCTAAATTTGCACACATATGTGCGAATTTTGTTCCAGATTTGGAAAATATACTAAAAGTTCTCTAGAAAACATATAAAAAAAAATGTGATTATATGAGAAATTCATTTTGGCAGGATAATTGATTTTCAGGAACCGGGCGGCGAAATTTAATTACGCACCTAAAGGGTTAAAAATGGCTGGCAAGCCGCAGTGAGAGTTCTCGTGGTACTGAGAAAGAAAAAGGCACCATTTTTAGATTTTCTATGTATTATTTTTACATTTTCGACGTAGGACCAATTCGACTACTACATGGTGGAAATCGGTCCTAGCTCTGCTACAAAGTCGAGGACTGGCTGTACATATATTGCACTACAATTGGGTTAAAAATGCAAGGAGGTAAGAAAGGTCAATGGCTGTACATTGAGTTTTTGCTGCACTATACAGTTTAGATAAGGAAGATTAGAGTTAAATTTATGCCATATTGAACATCAGAGTAAAAGAAAGTGAAATAAACTCTCTTCTTTGTTGATAGATTTCCACATTCAAAACTCATTTTACTCAGTTTTTAGTTGGGAAAGTAATGGGCTAAAGGAAATTTCTTACTGGTCTTCATTCTTTTTATGTGAAATATTGTACTTAAAACTTTTAACACATGTCAGTCATAAAACATATACAGTATACTGTATTGTAAACCCAATAAATTATCTTTAGTCTTTAGTTTTACACAAAAAAAAATACTAAGTAAAAGGAGCATTTAACTATGGAAATCGGTCAATAAACAACAGTTTATAGACTTTCTGTATGGACGATAGTTTCTGAGTAAGACTCTGACACAATTTAATGTCTTTGCATCCAGAACTCACTTCGTATTGGTTACAAACACCAGAAATTTTGCCTGAAACTCACTAGAAATAAAGATTAATTTGAGTGAATATCAACATCCTATTCCCAAAACTACAGGCAGACGACATATACTTATATATTGATGACTCTAAACCTACTTTATAATGATTTTAGAACCAAAATAAGCACTCAAAATAGAAAATAAATGGTAATAGGTTACTATAAAAATCCGAAATTTGGCAAAAAATCACCCCTTAAAGTTTCTTGTGTTGCTGATAAAGGAAGCTTCCTGGTGGTACACCCATGGATGAGGGGAAACACTACTGATCATTTTATACTATAGTCTAGATATACACATGTACAGTATCTTACTATTTTTATATAGGTGTTCATGTTCTTAATTTTAAACACATCTTTAAAACCTCATTTTTCATACAACCATTTAGGAGGGACCCATGGTATTCAGTTAGCCAACTTTACTCAGATTATGTACTACTTTAAAGATTACCAATAATTTACTCATCAGTTACAGCCAAAACCCTGAACAGGTATCATTGAAAATATTTAGATGATAAGCAAAGAGATGTCAGGTTATGACATAACAGTAGTGAATATACAGTACAACATATTAATTGTCACTTACAAAATGGTGACCACAACAAACCACCTTTATCTCAGTGCTGTTCACACTTCCAAACTTTTTTTTTTTATGAAAAGTAATTGGAATCGTACTGGCAAGTTAATTATATGAGCTGACACACGTGACTTACCAGAGGTGTTTTTAAGACTTTGTTTATGGAGGAAGATCCTTTGCCCATTCATGAACAACTGACTGCAGAATAAATTGAAATCAAAATTTGATCTTTTTTGATTTGTCTTCTAGCAGCCCAGGAAGAGGTTTTCATGGAAGAAGAAGAAGATGAGGCTGAATCTACCAATAAGAATCAAGTTCTAGGCACATTAGATAGCAATAACAAAGCACCTCAGTCTCGGGTGAGAGTGTCAGAGTGGAAGCTCCAGTAAATCTGAGCAGAGTAGAGATGGAACAGTCCAGTGATGGGGCAAGAGCAGATAATGAGAGAAGGATGAAAAAAACAGCAAGTAGTTCCTCGGATAGTAGTAGCAGTCCCAAGTTATCAAGCTCGTCTTCATTTGATAATTAAATACTAAGTAATACAATACCAGAGCCTCAACATTAAAGGGATATGTTCCTGGGATGCTTCTTGAATGTAAAATTTCGTGAATAACATTCATTAATACCCAACCTTTAATATCTTACCTTAAATTAAGGACTGAAGGCTAAAAAAATATAAAGAGCAAAACCTATTCTTAAGCCCTCAAAATACTACATAGATACATAGTTAGTTCATACAGTTGTATTATGTGAAAAAAATAAAAGGAGAGCAGGTGAATGTGGTGTGATGTTCGGGAAGTCAACTGGATCACAGTAAATGCAATGCGTCATCTGTGGTCTGCCCCACCTAGCTTGTATCACCACTGTGCCATCTTTTACATGAATACACGCTTGACATGCAACACTGTGAATGAAACATGCTTACATACTGAGTATTAGGTTTTCCTTTAACAAACATATAACTGGGAAAAATTTAAAAATTTTCCCAGTCATAAAATGTAATAGGGTCTTCATTATCCGAGTACTTTTCATTATCCGTGGATCCGCAGTTACAAGCACAACTTTTTTTTTTAACAATATATAAAAATTTCTGAACTTACGAAGATTCAGAATGAAATCCATCGGTCGAAAACATAAAGTGCAGTAACAGTGAAATTGTACTTTTTTTGTTTGCATTGTTGTGCTTTTGGTCACATTGGTGAAATTTATTGTACCCATGAATTTGAAGCCAAAACAAGGCAGTGTAGTGTCTTAAAGGATGCATAGTAGCTATGGGATGGATGTGAAATTAGAAGTGATGAGTTGTAAGAAGAGAGCCTCTCTCATTCAGCCCTAATCCTACTCTCCCAACATCCACCTCCATCCATCCAATCAAGCCCAACATCTCTATACTTTTGAAGGTAAGCTAATAATAATAATTTATGAGTATATGTTAAAATTATTTACTTTTTAAAATAACCACATGGTTAGGTATCCTGCATCACTTGAACACACCGACTCCAAACAACTTTACATGTATTAAATAAGTTATAAAGTAAAATAATTTCATAAAATAAAGTGTGATCAAATGTTTAACAAATGTTTTTAAGGCTTATATTTGTTAAAGATATCAAATTAAACTTTTTGAGTGTCATTTATGTATAATGTGTTGGTTCCGATTAGACCCAATTCCATTAATTTTGTGGGGAATTAATTCCCCTGTATTAACATTATGGGAGCAAAATAACTAGCAGTGTTACTTATGTACAGTAAATAAAGATTTACTTTTCTTACCTCATAATAAGCTGCTGTAGGGCCCTCAGGCCTCAATACTCTGATTGGGATCTCATCCAGAATATGAATGACTGATGAGGAAGAATCCAGTGGAATGAAGGGAAAAGGCTGGCTGTGAGGATGTGATGAAGGTGATGCCAAGCTGGTTGGTGAGGGGAGAGACAGGAGTGGATCTCGGCATTAAAAATATTGTGATTGGCATTAGTCTGGCTTTCTTTTTGGTGTTATAGATTCCTTAGTAAGGTTGCAAAGCATTCTCAATACTCCCATTTCACTTTTGATGTGCTAACCAGGATGGGGCATATTCATAACAGTCGACTCATTCACCCCAAACGTCTGGCCAATAGTTGATGCATCCATGCAGTTAGCGAGTTTCTCCAACACTTCAATTTTCTGTGTACGAGTTATCAATTTCTTCACTCTCTTTGCACCAGATGCACTACCACCAGTTAATTGCCTTTGAGGAGCTATGACAATGTTATAAAGTTAGACTTCTTCAAGAGGAGGAGTAACAATTCCTGCAGCCTGGCAACAGCAGAGACGACACGGATGAGACTGGTGGGAGAAGCCGGAAGAACACAGCTGGCGAAGCAGCAGGAATGCAATGATGTGACATCTGGCGGATGTCAGCAGTTTTTAAAATAAGCACCATACCTTTACATGGGGGCTCCTTTCACGGATAGCTGAATTTGCATGTGTTGAGGTTCTGGTATATTCAGTTGAATAGCAATCTATATAAGATAATATAATGTAAGAGAATGTAAAATGAAACTCTATTTTGTACCTGATCTTGAGTAATAATAATAATATATTACTGTATCAGTAATGACTGTAATCTTATTTATATTTACTGTAGAGTATAATAAAAGATTTTTCATTGTCTTCTGAAGTTTATTTGTTATTCCTTATTGTGACTATACAGTAGTTTGTACATAAAGGGATTGGGCAATAAATATCACCTTACATTTTTTAATGTACAGTACTGTACAATACTTTGTGCTGTACACAGTACTGTACTTGTTTTGCAATGCACTGTATAGTGTGAAAATATAGCTCAAGAGATTGTTTGAAAAAAAAATAATCACTCCTTATGAGAATGTCCTACGTTTTCTCAAACCATTTGTAACCTGAAACCTAAAAAGTTTGAAAAGCAGTATCAACTTGTTTTGAATGATTTATCAGGAACCAGTGAGAGCTCACATATTGATTGAATTATAAACATTAGACTTAAGGAATGAATGCAGGCGCTTTTGCAATATTTGTCATAGAATGATGTCTATCTAAGACCGATAACCTGTTCATAAAATCCCGACCATGTAACCTCTATTTGATATATACTGAGAGAATGCAGCAGAAAAGTCATTCTGACCCACGTTCCTCGTGTTTTACAAGTCACGTAACTCCGTGTTCCACATCATCATTTGACTTTGATAGTTGTGCTTTGTTCGAGTTCAATTCTCTGTTAATGTAAGTAAACATTGTATCATATTTTGAGTAAACATACATAATCATTTCTTTGTACAAGATATGTGTTATAAATATTCATACGTTTAGTGTGTTCATCACCACCAGATGACTGAGGCTACATTACCACCACCAACACCAGATGACTGAGGCTACATTACCACCACCACCACCAGATGACTGAGGCTACATTACCACCACCAACACCAGATGACTGAGGCTACATTACCACCACCTACACCAGATGACTGAGGCTACATACCACCACCAACACCAGATTACTGAGGCACCAACACCTCAGATGCAGACCAGATGATGACTGAGGCTACATGAGCTACATTACCATGATCCAGGCTACATTACCCACCAGATGACTGAGGCTACATTACCACCACCAACACCAGATGACTTAGGGCTACATTACCACCTACACCAGATGACTGAGGATGACTGGCTACATTACCACCACCAACACCAGATGACTGGCTACATTACCACCAACACCAGATGACTGACACTACATTACCACCATCAACACCAGATGACTGAGGCTACATTACCTACCAACACCAGATGACTGAGACATTACCACCACCACCACCAGATGACTAAGGCTACATTACCACCACCAACACCAGATGACTGAGGCTACATTACCACCACCAACACCAGATGACTGAGGCTACATTACCACCACATCAGATGACTGAACATTACCACCACCATCACCAGATGACTGAGGCACCACCACCACCAGATGACTGAGGCTACATTACCACCACAACACCAGATGACTGAGGCTACATTACCACCAGATAGGCAAACACCAGATGACTGAGGCTACATTACCACCTACACCAGATGACTGAGGCTACATTACCACCACCACACAGATGACTGAGGCTACATTACCACCACCAACACCAGATGAATGAGGCTACATTACCACCACCAACACCAGATGAATGAGGCTACATTACCACCACCAATACCAAATGCTGAGGCTATATTACCACCACCAACACCAGATGACTGAGGCTACATTACCACCACCAACGCCAGATGACTGAGGCTACATTACCACCAACAACACTAGATGACTGAGGCTACATCACCACCACCATCAGATGGCAGGAGGCTACATAGCCACCACCACCAGCAGATGACCACCACCAGATGGCAGGGGGCTACATCACCACCAACAACACCATTTGACTGAGGCTACATTACCACCAATACCAGATGACTGTGGCTACATTACCACCAACAACAGCAGATGACTGAGGCTACATTACCACCACCAACACCAGATGACTGTGGCTACATTACCACCAACAACACCAGATGACTGAGGCTACATTACCACCAACAACACCAGATGACTGTGGCTACATTACCACCACCAACACCAGGTGACTGAGGCTACATTACCACCACCACCAGATGACAAGAGGCTACATTACCATCAGATGACTGAGGCACCATCACCACCAGATGACAGGAGGCTACATCACCACCACCACCACCACCAGACAACACCAAAAGATGATTGAAAAAATTCCAAATTGATGCTTATATTGTTATTTGGGAGCTACTATAGTATGTAGTCTGCAGAGTTGGAGCTACTATAGTATGCAGTCTATAGAACTGTAGCTACTATAGTATGCAGTCTATAGAACTGTAGCTACTATAGTATGTAGTCTACAGAGCTGGAGCTTCTATAATATGCAGTCTACAGAGCTGTAGCTACTATAGTATGCAGTCTATAGAGCTGGTGCTTCTATAATATGCAGTCTACAGAGCTGCAGCTACTATAGTATGCAGTCTACAGAGCTGGAGCTTCTATAATATGCAGTCTACAGAGCTGTAGCTACTATAGTATGCAGTCTACAGAGCTGGAGCTTCTATAATATGCAGTCTACAGAGCTGTAGCTACTATAGTATGCAGTCTACAGAGCTGGAGCTACTATAGTATGTGGTCCACCGAGCCGGAGTTGTGTCTACCGGGATATTTACACTAAAGCATCCATTAACATAACATAACCTAGGTTAGGCTAGGTTCATGGATGATACAGTGTAAATATCCTGGTAGACACAACTCCAGCTCTGTAGACCACATACTATAGTAGCTCCAGCTCCGTAGACCACATACTACAGCAGCACCAGCTCTGTAGACCACATACTACAGTAGCACCAGCTCTCTAGACCACATACTACAGTAGCTCCAGCTCTCTAGACCTCATAGAGCAATAGCTCCGTTATTTGTTAAAAAATAAGTTTTTCTATGTATTAAAATGTCTGACCCCAGACATCTGGCTTCTTGTGTTACCCTCTTAGTTCTGTTATATTATGTACTATATAATGTATCTGTAGTTCATACCTTAATGTGTACTTTATAGTATTATGGTATTGTATTACAAATATTGTTTCTCTTGTTTACTGTTGTAATGTATTAATAAAGCCTCCAAGTGCTCAATTCTAGTATCCATAATGTATTTTTACTGAACATGCAATGAATTCCCAATAAAGATCAATAAAACAGTCGAAATTGTCTATGTAAGACCTTATTGAGACGTCATATGTAAATTAATGGACTGACAGCATAAAATAATGACATTACTAATAATAATAAAAATACGATCATTTTCTATATTCTAATACTCCTAAAAGCTGTTTATAAATAAACACATTATATACACAATAAAACTCTTGTCAAAGAATCAATACAACTGTCCGAGCGGTTATTACTTGTATAAGCTGATAAGGGCTAAAATTATACATATAACAAAAAGTAAATACATAGTGTTACGACCGTGTCGTACTTTTCTATTTTTTTTATATATATAACATGCTTCCATGTTCCATATTATTCCTGTAATGATGTGTTATATTTACTATTATATAATCTAGTCACCTTACCCTGTGCTGTTAAGGTTTTATCTGTTATTATTTGTTCAAGCCCATCTTATTTCTTCATTTAGTATTGCAACAAGCATTCTGTGTTGCTCTAACGACCATCTGCATCGTTAAACGACCCATGTTCACCGGCTGGTTGCTTGGCGCGAACCGACCATATTATACAGTACTCCACCTGTAGACAGAGGCAGTTCAGTCCCCTTGTCATACAGTTTACATCCTTTGAGTGACACTCGTCACCTGTTACTTATACTTAATTTATCTGTGTTGTTCCTGTTGCCACCAATGTGGTATATCTATGTGAGTACCTATTTATGTCTCTATGTCCATCAGTATTTGCTTAGTTGTATTCAAGTAATTCTGTGTTGTTTCACGTTAGTTAATTTCAGTGTTAATTTTTATATGTTTATGTAGTGTTAACGTAATCCAATGCTTTATTTTTATTATTTTGATGTTTCGATGTTAAGTATCATTTGTCTTAAAAGCTTCGATGGTGAATCAATTTGTTGTGACAGCCTACGAGGCTCTTTATTGTCTTAATATTTAATTAATTAAATTCTTAAAGGTTTACTTTATTTATTTGTATTCCCTTATAATTTACTTCACGCCTAGAACCTGGATATTTAAGTAAATTAAGAGACGGCGTAACAATATAGGATCACCATGAATAGTAAGCAGTACTCTTAACCATTGAGCCATGACAGACTTACAGTTATTCCACCTTAACGTCATTCTTAAAGCTCAAGGAACTGGATGAAAATAGTTATCTGCAACCCAGGTGACATTACGATAGCCCAGGCCCTTATTGGTCAACTCTGTATCTGTATTTTTCTGGTTAAATAAACTGTTTTAATATCAAGTGTGGACGAGCTGCTCTAATCCTGCGGCTCACGGAGTTTGCAAAGCATATGACCTAAAAGAGAATAATAAAGGTTAATATATTCTTATGCGTAGTGGTCAAGTGGATAAACCTTCTGCGTGATTTTCTGGGTTCGATTTCCGGCACTTCAGTATTTTATTTTATTTTTTCGTTATGTGACTATTTGCGCTGTATTATACCCTAAAAGTTAATCAAAAGTAAATTTGGGCCATAAATTTGACGTGTTTACGTATTTTAACGTATATTCATGTTCGAATCTTCAAATGATTCAATGAAGCATCAAAATGATTCAGTGAAGCTTCGTGACGTCACTCTGAGCCTTCATATATATAGTCTCGACTAACTCATTTTCGTCCCATTCTTCACCGACCACTCACTGGTTGCAGATGACAGGCAGGTAAGCCCCACACCTCTAGTCTCCATTATATACTTGTAAATGTTTTCCCCGACTATCTACAATCAAAATGGCCAAGAAAAATGGTTAATCTCTTGGGTAGTGTTTAATATACTTAATTATGGCGAAATAAATGCTGATTTAAGTAAAAAACTTGCCAGCCGGTTGTTGCAGTTCACTTGCCTCCAAGGGTCGTACCCCCAAGTTTCACTGGGCTATAAGGCCTAT